TAGCTAATTTTTTATGATTTGTTCATCATAGTGGTTGTAAAAGCAGATCTGCATGTTTTGTAAATGCACCACCAGTCCTGGCACTCTTCCTTACCTTTTTAATAAAGATCAATTACTATGATTAAGAATGACATGATGTCTGTCGAGTTAAGGCCTGTTTATGCCAAGAACGATAACGGCAAATATATAGTTTTAAGAATCATTTTAAATACAAAAGAGAAAAAAAATAGCAGAGTCCACAATAATGTTAATAATACAGGGGAACAATGTTGTTGGAATCACTTTCAGGATGCTTTTTTCCAGCCAATCAGAATCCATCCTGCTTTAAAGAGTTTGAGCATTCAAAGGGACAGACCTATAATGCATTGGTGTGGACACTAATATAGTTATAGTTCATGGTATGTATGGGCCTGTGTAGGTAAAGACTAATTCAAAGAAAAAGCACATTCAGCATTTACTCGTCATCATATTGTAGGATAGATGCAAACAGACTTACCAAATTTAAAAGGCTTCATAAATAGAGCAAATAATTTGGCACATAGGCACCTGAGATTAACAAGAGCTCTTTTCTCTTTCCCACTATCTCCTCCCCATGATAGCAAAGGTGATTGACCTTCCACTCAGACTGTAATTACAAGACATGCTTAATTGGCCCCATTAGGGCCCCTTGATATGCTAATGTCTGATACGCTCATTTGCATGATTGCTCCCCAGCATTTCCCTTTCGATGATGGCTGAGTTTGTGGACTATTTTAATGTTTCACAGGCTGCCTCTGGTGTTCATATTCTTGTGTTTTTCTTGCTGCAGTCGTTCTTCATGTGATCCCGTTATGAATTCAAGACACACATGAGCTGCTTCAATACGTTCTTTGCAGAAACCTTCCCGTGTCCTTCTGATAAAGCATTGAGGCTTTTATCTGACGTATTGTAATAAAAGTTTCCCGTTAATTGTTGGGGTAAAAAAGAAAGCCTGTTAGCTTTCGCTTTGCAAAGGGCATGTTAAAACAAAACCTCTTTGTTTTCCAAATTTCTTGGTTGATTTTTCAGTTGAGTGGCTCTTTGAAGCTCAGACTTGCTGTAATCTTGTTTAGTGTTTGTTGCATTATTAAAATTCTCTCTCACACTAACGCTGCAGTTGTCATGCCGAGAGTTTAATGCATCGGAGCAGAACAAGCCTTTAGTGCTAATATAAAGTGATCTCTTGTGTCTGGCCACGTGTCCGTCCCTGTGTGCTCGCTCTATCTCTGTGTCCTGTTGGTTTACATCATTGGCCACACTACAGAAAGAGGAACACTTCTGCACTATTATGGAAATATGTCAGGGGTGTGTCTGTGTCTGCAGTGATGGAAAACCCCCGATAGAATCTCAAAAGGAAACAGTGGGTCGGTTTGTGTGCTACACACTGCGTGAACATCGAGTGCCGTTCTGCTGTTTTGAATGACATCTTGGTATTCAAATGAAATGACAAATATGAATGAGAATATGATCCAAACAGGACCTTTCTATTATAGTCGTTCAAAACTCAAGAACTGCTTGAGATGAGTGTGCGAAAGACACCTTATTTGCACTTGGCTCTAAAATAGAGCCAAGTGAGAGAAATTCAACTTTCCTAGAACTCGTGAACATGGTGTTAAGTAGATTTTCTGAATTGTAAGTGAATCTTATCAAGCAACAGTCTATTTAAATAATATTTTAGTGCTGTTTTTTAAGGCAAGAATCAATATTTTTGTTCATACTTTTGTTAAAAAAAAATGGGATAAAGGGATAGTTCACCCAAAAATGAAAATTCTGTCATTAATTACTCACTCTCATGTCATTCCAAACCTGTAAGAACTTTGTTCATCTTCGGAACACAAATTAAGATATTTTTGATGAAATCAAAATACACACGCATGCGTCATGAACACACGTCAAAGACTGATACAGAAAATAAGAAATTGTTTAATAAAGTCATTATTTTTGTTTTTATTGCGCACAAAAAAGTGTTTTCGTAACTTCATAAAATTAAGGTTGAACCACTAATGTAACATGGACTATTTTAGCGATGTCCTTACTACCTTTCTGGGCCTTGATTGTGTCAGTTGCGTTGCTCTCTATGGAGGGTCAGAAAGCTCTCAGATTTCATCAAAAATATCTTAACTTTTGTTCTGAAGATGAACGAAGAACGTGAACAGAAAGCATTCAGATATGTAACAGTATATTGGATCCGTGCATTAGGTAAATTGTTTAATAAAGTCATTATTTTTGTTTTTATTGCGCACAAAAAAGTGTTTTCGTAACTTCATAAAATTAAGGTTGAACCACTAATGTAACATGGACTATTTTAGCGATGTCCTTACTACCTTTCTGGGCCTTGATTGTGTCAGTTGCGTTGCTCTCTATGGAGGGTCAGAAAGCTCTCAGATTTCATCAAAAATATCTTAACTTTTGTTCTGAAGATGAACGAAGGTCTTAAGGGTTTGGATCGACGTGAGGGTGAGTAACTAATGACAGAATTTAAATTTTTGGGTGAACTATCCCTTTAAGGAGGAACCCGAGTCTAGAGACCACAATACCATTTAGCTTGAGGGTGGACTGTGTTGACATGGACCAGTGAACAAAGAACTAGAGCACTGTTGAACCAGCTAAAAATACATCAAAGACACCTTAGCAACTGCATAGCAATGTGCAAAAAACACCCAGAAAACCCTAGCATAAACTTGTCTTTGTTCCTTCCAGATGATGAAGAGGCGCTCACCTCCATAATGATGGACCTGGCAGCTTTACGTTTCTGTTGCCAGCTCAAGAGTAACAACAGCAACAAGCCCAAGAGCAGAACCCCGTCCTACAGACAGGTAATTACCCACAGTGCACCACTCAGCAGCAGCTAGGCATGTGCAAGGCGGTGTTTTCAAAAGCAGGTATTCAGAAGGTTGTCTGAATGATTCATTGACTAATCAGTCTTTAAGTATCCTTAATAATTTGGTGGAACAAAGGACAAAATGCAGTTTCTAAAACTATGGAATTAATGTTCACTTAACTTTCTTAGAAATACAACAGTGCAAGACACTCAACAAAACAGCTGAGTTGTGACGTATTTGTTAAAAATGTCCGTTCATTCATCCATTTATATATATTATATATTATTGAACTGCAAAGCTAAATAAATTAATAAACAATCTATTGCTATAATAATATTATAAGAGATTCTTTTTGTAAACTACAATTAAAACTAAAAACAAATATATATACACACACACACATATATATATATATATAGTTTTATTTATCTTATTTTATTTTATGTTTATTGTTTTATTTTATGATAATAAGCTACAAAGCTAAATAAATATTGCATAATAAATTTTGCGTAATTGTGATGATTGCAACTCTGTAACTTATACATTCAACAATAATATGATTTATTCTGTCTGTATAGGCCTTTTTGTATAATGCATTATAAAAGTAGTTTTATTGCATTAATTATGCCTTGTAATGCACCTTATAATATTCTTATAATTATTAATAATAATAATATAAAATATTATATGTATTTATTATAATAATGTATTTTATTGCCTAAGTGTTTGATTTATTCACTTATTTACTTATTTATAATAATGAACTGCAAAGCAGAAATAAAAAAAAACAACAATGTAAAACCTTATAATTGCACTTGGACCACATTGCTCACAAGACTTTTGAGGTAAGCTTGAACCTGACCTGATATAATCCCAGCCAGAGCTGCATTGTAAGAAACAGTTTTAAACAGGATACAACTCAGAGAGGCACTACTGTTAACATTTAACATCCGCTCCCTATGTACTGTGCAGCATAAAGCACCAGTATCCTTGTAGTTTTCTTTCATTGCCTGAATTCTCACTACAACGCTGTCACTCCACACCGGACACCAGTCAGACCTCAAGATAAATAGCTGGCACACACACACACACACTCTCTTTTTGTTTCCGTCTAACTCGTTCTTGGTTTCTTTTTCTCACACTTTCACCTCTCATTTTTTCGCTCATACACAAAATGCCAGAAGCAACTTTCCCAACTTAACCAAATGTCATTATAGTAACACAACAACAACCATCCAAAAAAAAAAAACCCCAGCAACTCACTGGGAGTCTTGACAGGTTAAAACACATGCATAATGAAGACGCACGTGAAGCGCATAAACTTGCAGATTACTTCTTGTTTCAGCCTCTTGCTGCATTCTTAATGGAGATGACGTCACAATGTCAACAGTATCGGTGTAAACAGTATTCAGACTGTACGTTATCTTCAGCGGTGGAAGGCACTGTGTCGTCTCAGGGGAGACAGTGCAGTTAATGCTTCAACCAAACTTTGAAGTTCGAAATTCAGAGTGGTGCTGATTTCAGAACAGTAGGGGTGACCAGGGGCAGTTTTATTTTCCAATGACAAACAAGTTAGAGTAGAATTTGTTCTAGGGTTCAGGGGCGAAACATTAAAAAAGAGTCCACAGGTACTTTTAAGAAAACCTTTCCGGGTTCTTTTCTTTTATTGTGAGGAAAAGGAAAAACGATCTGTTTCATAAGCGGTTCACACAAAGAGCAAGAACGCGAAAAAAACGTCAGGGCTAGGCCAGGCCAAAATAATAAACAAATAAAACTACCTTAACCCAAAACTAAATGTAATACAAGCACTTCCCTTACTCCTTAACTAATCCAAAAACAGGAGAAAAACATGTCCAAAATAAATGGCACCTAGCCCCTACAGCGTTCATAAGCCAAACTTATCAGATCAACATAAGTGGTCAGTAAACACTCAATGAAGGAGAGGAGAGAAAAAAAAGAATGTGAGGGAGAGAACAGTAAGCAATTTCAATGGTTCGCACAGACTTTCACTAATCTTACAATCAAGATACGATAACACCGTCTCAACAACGTCCAACAAGATGAACAACAGATTCTGCTCTCTCACGCCCCACCCGGGTGTTGCTCATCAAGATGCCAGTGCTCCTCGCCACCTATCACCACGCACGCTGGTGGCACGTCCAATTAAGGCGGGGCAACCTGTGAGAAACAGGACAGGAGAGACGAATGACGGGAAAGAGAACAACATCAAAAAGGAAAAAAAGACACCAATACAACCTCATGCGTAACAGCTACAAATCATTATCTGGCACTTGGGTGGTTTTCCATCATACTGTATTTGTATCTGTCAGTAAAATATTGTAATGCTTGCTACTTTAATGTGACATTGATATGACAAAAAACTTTCAAAACAAGAATATACATATGTGACCTTGGATGACAAAACCAGTCATAAAGGGACACTTTTTTGGAAATTGAGTTTTATACATCTTCTGAAAGCAAAAAAATAAGCTGTAGCGTCTCGACCAATCTGACACACAAATTTTTATTTGATTTAACAAATCAATTATTCATTAGATTAACAAATCGTCACAGGCCCCTCACTCAATAAACTGGATGCCAGGATTTCTGGTGAACACCAGGCCCCCTTG